AGCAAGAGCAATGATAAGCGTCATATTTTAACACTTTATATGACGACTCACAAACAACTAGACAAACAAACAATATTTGCAATTGGTTATGCATACATGGAATAATTTAGAGAAAATGTTGAGCTAATGATTTGTACAATATATTATTCATAAATTAAAAAACATAAATGAATAATACGATATAGCGTCATATTTTGTGAAACACTTTGTATATGAGCTGCCAAACAAATAATATTTGTAATTGATCAAGCATACTTCATAAGATTTCACAATTTATCACTCTATTAACGATGAATAAATTTTTTTGATGATATATTATGTGTGGGATACAAATTTCCGTCGACAATTTCCAGAACAAGGATCAACCGATTTGAATGATTCGGAAAACACTCGATTTTTATTGATAGGGAGACGTGCTGATTAGTCTTTGGCCAATGAATGTCTAGCCGTTTTGATGGTACGGGACAACAAGTGTCAAAAATGGAAATTCAGTTTTTGAGAGAACGGAACATCCGATTAGAATGATTCAGAAAACGTTTTACATTTAGTATCGTAGTAGTAGTATAAAAAGTATTTACATCTTTGTTTAATAATAGTTTTTGTGGCAAGTGTGTTGGTCTTTGGTATCAGAAAAGCAATAAATGTTCAAGAATCATTATCTAATATTGAATAAATCAAATAAAAATAGAATCAATTCAAATTAAAAATCAAATACAAAAAAATAAATCAAATTTACCAAAAATGAATAAACACTACAATTACTATTACGATTTCCTATTCGTTGCATCAATTAATTTGTTTTAAAATCAACTTAATAACGTTACAATGGTTAAAATACAATGCCATATAAATGTAATAAATAAAAATTTAATTGCCCATACAATTGCATAATTGGATAACTACAAACGTAGTAATAAATGTCAACAACAAACGTTTGCCATCGTGTTTTGCTATGCAAATCCGGACTATTCTGGTATCCAATTGCCGCAGTTTACCGTATCACGTATCATTCAAATAAGTTTAATGGAAAATTTCTGTATCGGATATTTTGCCCATAATTTGTATATGATTGAAATAACTACAAAATCATTCAGGTCGATTATCAAATCGATTTACGTTTTAATGAAAGCTCTTTGACACGTTCATATTTAAACTTTTTATGGAAATATTTTTCGTTACTATTGCGATAGGTAATTGCATCATAATGGAAAGCCTTGGATGTTAGGTTTTTAATCATTTTTAAATATATATATATATATATATATAATAGAAAGAAAATTAAATAATATTTTTTAAAAAGATTCTTATATCCCGAAAATTTCAAGTCGGTATCGCGAATCCGTACCCCTGGTAGAACAATTAATTCTAGCTCCGCTACTCGCCGGTCATTTATCAGCAGTTTTATCTCCTCTCGATGCACAAATTATCACGAACAGAAAAACCGGTTGCTAAGAAGAAGACGACCAGTGTAATAAATTATTACCGACTCGGATTTGCGCTGATAAACAACAAATAAATTATCTTCACAACGCGAACTTACGGCGTTGGCGAAGGCTCGGCGCATTTTGCGATGCACCTGGCCGAGGTGGCGGAAAAGAAATATGAGAAAATTATAAGTGTTTCAAATTTTTCTTATTTATGCTGATTGTGATGTTTTAATTAAAATGCGAAGTTAAATATATGATTAAATAAAATATATAATTAAATAAAATTTCCATATAATATGTATAATCTATTAACTAAAGGAATCAGCATCCTAATTCACAAATATTTGATATAATATGCAAACATGTTAAAATTATTGCTGACTATACGCCCAAATGTGATAAAAGCTCTTCTCTAATTTCATTGGAATCGTTAGTGTTTCCATAACTTTTTAACAAATCAATATCTAAAACTTTAGCAAGGAACAGTAGTAAATAACTTCAAAATCCATTATATCACTTCCAATAAAATATGTATAATATCTCTTAACTAATAAAATACTTATAAAATTCCATCAACTTCCCAATGGGTCCCGTAACGACCGAACACGTGAAACTGGTACAACTATTTCCAGAAAACAATAAAAATTAATGTTCCATCTTAAATCAAATTAAAAAAGTTAAAATTAAACGAAGAATCTAGAAACTTTTATTGGAAACGAGATAGTTCAAGGAACCCCGAGATCGGTATTTTAATCGTCCACTCGACTCTGGGGAGAGTATTTTGAAAGTCTGCAAGAACTATGTTTTTAGGTCAGTGACACCACGTTAATGCTTTTTTTCCTTTTGCATCTGAATTTCAAGGATAAAATAAGGTGTAAGAGAGATATATATTATCGATAGTTCTTCTTCTTACGTATTCTGTGCGATGTTATACAATCAAAGAGGTAACTGACCACTTCAAGAACACGACTCCCTTGAGAGCCCCTTGTAATCACCTAGTCGTGAGAAGCAATTTCGAAGATAGAAAATTATACAACTTGCTAATATTATATAACAAATAGCCGATAAACAATGGATTGATGCCTTAGACATTATGAAATTTCATTCAATACTTCATGGCCAGGAAAATCTCCACCGACCTTTTTTCCTCAAATGTTTTGAGAATACCTGGTTTCTATAAAAATACTCGTATAATGCATGTCATAAACAACAAAAACAAGACCATTAATATCAATTAAGTCTTGGTCGTCTTCCATCCGATAAAAATGTTCCCACAACTTCTGGTAATTGAAGTGATTCATTGATACGCATTCTACAGCAATTACCGACTTCTTTTGTGTAACCAATAATCATTTCTAGACGAGCACAATAAAATAATTAAGTTTGGTAGCCTCGCATGGCATACAATGGCACTTGTACATCAATTGACAATTATAATTATATATTATAGCATTGAATTATACTGATTTGAAGCGTTTCATTATTTGACAAAATAATTTATGAAACAAATTGATAGGGATTATGTTGTTTTAGTTATAATATATTATAACTACTTCCTTAACTTTAGCATAAAGCATTAAATAGTCTATTCCTTATTGTTAAATAAGAAAAAAATAAATCGAGTAATATTTAGCCATTTCTTCTACAGAAAAAATCGAAGACAATAATTCTATAATTGACAGTTACGCATTTACAAATTAACAACAAAGGGCAATCTTACACAATGTAACCGCTGGCCGCTAAATTGATAAATAAGTTTGTTCCGCTTAAGCTCTCACACAATGGTCCCTCATTGACTGCACCTCATTGAATTTATTTATTTACTTTCTGTTTTGCGTATTCATTTATTGACATGATCTATCTGGATTAGTGATTCAAATTGTTCAACAATATGAATAGTAATTTATTGCAAAAATTATTCACTGCGTATAACAGCTTATAACAAAATTATGTTAAAAATATACCTTAACTTATTTAACTTAACTGCGTATTTAAGTGTATCACTAATAACAATTTATTTTGTTTCCAGATGAAGTATTTTGTGGTCTTTGCCGTGCTCGCATGCAGTTGGAGTGCACTTGCCTTCCCTCTCGGAGAAGAATTAGATGCAGCGAAAGAAGTCGCGCAAAGTGCGCAAGAAGTAGCTCAGGCCGTACCTCAAGATGTAAGCGACAAACTCAACCTGACGCCCGTAGCGGACCAACCACAACCCGAAGCGGAGAAAAAGGAAGAAGCACCGGCAGCCGAAGAAAAATCGGCTCCTGAAGAACCGGCTAAACAGGCAGATGAACCAGCATCGCCTGAACCCGCTAAAGTCGAACAAGCTCAAGAGGCAGCAGCCCCAGCAGCTGAAGAAAAGCCAGCTGAACAACAACCAGCGGCTGATGAAGCTGCCAAACCAGCTGCCGAGGAACCAGTAAAGGAAGCTAAAGCCGTGGAACCAGAACACCACGAGCACGTGGAATCAGAACAACACGCTGAACCAGAACAAGTTCAACCAGTTCAAGCTGATGCAGCACCCGAAGCACCAGCCGCTACTGAGGAAAAGCGAGCAGCTGAGCCACAAGCCGCTGAAGAGAAACAAGAACAACCTGCTCAAGACGAACCAAAAGCTGAGGAAAAAGCAATTGTCGATGATGCCGTACGAGTAGTTCGCGATACTGATATAACTGAACCAGCTAAAGTAGAAGAAGCAGCCAAAGCCGAAGAACCAGCCAAAGCAGAAGAACCAATCAAAGAAGCAGCTGCCGAGGCACCTGCAGCAAAGGCCGCTGTAGAAGAAGAAACTCAAGCAGCTAGCCATGATGAACCAGCCAAGCAAGAAGCACCAGCAGCCGTATTGCCAGAACCAAAAGCCGTAGAAGAGAAACAAGAAGAACAAGCTGCACCAGTTCAACAAGATGAACCAGCACCAGCACCAGCAGCCGAAGCTAGTCCCGCTGAACCAGCTAAAGAAGCAGCTCCCGCACCAGCCCCTCAGGCCAAAAGCTCAGAGGAAAAATCGAGCGAAGAAAAATCCAGTGCCGAAGAAGTAAAACCAGAGGTCAAATCTGAAGCGGTGGCTTCCGATTCCAAGGAAAGCTCCGAAGAAGCAAAACCAGCTTCAGCGTAGATTTATAAAATCAAACAAAAAAATTCAACGCGTCCCACGCTTAGTTCGATGGTAATCTCGAACTCAGCGTGAGTCCGTTAGGTTGAAGGCATCACGAAGCGCTTGCCAACAGCCGCGCCACGTGATGCTACCACACCCTTCGTTGTTCCAATTTACCTAATTTCCCAAAACCTTAGATTTTCCTTTAAACCATTCTCTATTTATAGCCCTGAGGCAGAAAAGGTCGAAAAGGGCAATAGGATATTTGAATTGAGATGTTTCCGCAAGACGGTCGCCGTGCCGTCTATGTTTCTAGAGTAGCGTAGACTGATGTCAAATTAAGACCTGCGGGTCAAGGGTTCTCTAGTGAAGTCAAGAAAAGACTTCCTTGAGCAAACCTACAATTGATTGAAACCATATATTTAATTTACGATTTTATCCAAATAAACTATTATGCAGTGTTCGAAATAATTCCCTATCATTCATTCTAGTATTATCTTGAATTAAAATAAATATAATTAGTTATATGTTATTGTAAGTGTAATACAGGCTTTCAATAAATAAGTTTTATAAATATATATTGTTTTTATTTTAATGAAACAAAATTATAGGATATATCGCTTCATCAATTTTAAATTAACCGATTTGATAAATTGTATAACATAATTAGGGAAAATGTAGCTCCATCTACAAGAAACCGCAATTACCTATTTTAGATTTTTACCTTAATCACGCTAATTAATTAAAAATATTTAACCTTAATTAAAATAATAAATGAAAAAAGTCATGACGTCCGAGGTATGTACAACCGCGAATAACTTTTTGGAGTAATTAATAATTTTGATAATCTAAACACTCCACGAATATTCGACGTCCAATTAAAATATAACTAAAAGTGTTATATTATAAATAATATAATAATATATAGCCACGATGAACATAGAATAGTTTACATGCCATGAGATAATAAAAAATCATTCCAACCCATCATTTGCATTGTTATAGACTTACAAATATATATATATATATATATATATATATATATATATATACATACATTTAAAAAACAATCACTTACCTCATTAGTCATCAGGTAACAGCAGAGCACACCAAGACACCACCAGTCAACTGCATACCCATAGCCTTCGCCAGTGTAAATTTCTGGTGCTGAAATTAAAATATAAAATCAAAACACTTACCTGGCTAAATCTCTGTACTAGAATATGTACATACATGCATTCACACTTTCTGAATGTTTGTATTACATAGATCACAAAATATTAACAAATATTATGAATAAGAATCAATATGCTTGATAAAAGATCAATAACTTTTGCCATGACGGAAATTGATAATTTGTTCTACTCAGGTGCTGCTCATATCTATGACATCAAGAGTTGTACCAATTTCTGAAGGAGAAAAAGTCTTCTCCTGGTTGTCTGTATTCGACAAACAATGCAGTACCATTATTCTTCTGAATACTTTATACTTAAGTGTACAAGGCTTGTATAAACACACAATTCTCATACATATAATTCTTGGAAATCTCTCTTTTTAAAGTTGAAGTAACAGCTCAAAAAACTGATGAGACTTTGAACGCCAAAACTGATCAATAGAATAAAATAAAAATTTTACTGCCTTAGCTTGTAGGTAAAATTATTTTCAGATTAACTATTATCTTTCTTAAATATCTACACTTTAGTTTATTGCTAAATGTAGTAAGAAAAAATATTCCAAAATAATATTCACATTCTTCATAAATTTGATTTTTTCCAAGAAAAGGTTGTTTGACCTGTAGATTTTTATCTCTTCCAACGTTATCTGATTTTCACATACTCCAGCATTTTTTCTAAATCAAATATTATCCGTGAATTCAATAACACAGAAGCTTGATTTACATATAGTATATTTTTAATTGTTGAATATAGCTTGCTATTCTTTGTCATTCGCTTGATACATTGATTACAAATATTTATCTTAAGAAATAATTTATTTTGTAATAAAAATGTATATGTAGGTAAGTATATATGTACATACATAAAACCATATTTTTAAATGGTATATAAACCTATATGATTATTTATAGTATATACATATTATAATAATAGACAACTAATCGATCACAAATTTTAAGTCATTTATAGAAATGGTCTAGAAACCTTATTTCCAACCAATTTTGAAACATCTAAATTATAAGAATAGCTCATGAATATCGAAGAAGCAATTTCGTGCATGTCCTAATACACAGTATAGCTATCCAATTTCTACAGTAATATATGGACATATATTGTATGTAGTACATTATAAAATATAATGTAATTTTATGAGCAATTCAAATAATTCATAAATATATCTTCATATATCTATCGCACATTCTTATCCCATAATTTAATACCAGGTACAACAGAAATATAAAGGCTTGCTACATATATTTGCCTGGCGTTCTAAGCAAAACAATGCAACATCAAAATATTATATCACTCCTCCAGTTTTAATATATCTGATCCATATGACTAAATATTAAAAATTTATACCATATTGGCGAGACATCCTAGAACAATATATACTATATAGTATGATATAAAACTAACTATAATTTTGTATAGAAGTTTTGTTCTTATAAATCACTATTTACATATTTTAAAAATTTTGATAAACTTGGTCAAGCTAACATACTTACACGTTGAGAAGCTAATGTTAAAATGCAGCAGATTCACTCAAATATTTTTTATAAAACCAAGTAGACAATATAATTAAAATCTAAAATAATATTTCATGTTTGTACTTGTGTTAATTAACTTGGTCACTTGAGTAATGACTTTATAAATATCTCATATATAAAATGAAGGAAAATAATTGCTTGTAAGGAGCATCACAAAAATACATCGTATTAACTTTACTACACTTGTAACTTGTTTAAATAATTCACTATCCTTGCGACTCAATATTTATGTAATCAGCAAAAATTCTGGTCATTCAAAAAAAAGTTAAACACTTCGATTTAGTTGAAAATGAAATATCATGAAATAAATTTAATATTTTAGAATACCAGTTTCAAAAATAATTCTATTATATTCAAATTTAGTAAATTTTAAGTTATAAAAATTATTAGCCAATTATAAGATAAATAAACAACCTATGCGTTATCTTAAAAATATAATTTGTCATAAAATTAAAGTAGATAGAACATAAATATCAGCATCACTATTTAAGAAATATATACACAGTTTTAGATAACTTTTTATAGCTTGATATGCTCATACCACATGAAATATTATTCACAACTATTAAAGAGATAAAGTTTCTTTTATCAGTTTCTTCATAGAGTTACCAACAGAATTGGAAGGTCCATTAGTGCTATAATTAAATTTGAATAAATAAGGTTGAACATCTTCATACGATGTATCAAATATAAGTTCAAGTTCTGACTGATTCGGCATTTTTGGTACGTAATCATGCCTATTCATGACTTCTGTTATATATAATATTTTATCTGTAAGCATCTCGCCTACTTTCTCTCTGCAAACTTGCCTTTCATCTTCATTATTCAAATTTATTAATTCTAATCTAACATTCCATACCTCCCAGGGTATGCATTCTGATTGAAACGGCCAACGATTACGTTTCTTTTGAAAAAATTCTAGACTTATTTGTCCAGTACCAGTACTATCATTTCCTCGTAGAAGTGAGGAGAATTCAGATATTTCTCGTTTAAGAGTTCTGTCCAAACCACTAGAAGAACAGCATACGTATGTAAAATCTATAAAATCACAATCGACATCTGTGTATCCCAATGTACCAACAGAGTAACTGCCTTCATTGTTGTACAAAAATTTTCCAAGTGATCTATGAAACAACACAGTATGAAAAATACTAGCGACGGCCTCGTCTACTTGTCGGCCCTCCATTGTTAATTCAAATGTTTGAGATCTTGCATTCATCTTGCCTTATTTGCCAATCCTGATTCTGTATTTTCAACTGGTCTTTTTAAAGTGCAAAGTACTAGATCTATTACCATGAAAGAACGTGGCAAATATAAACATTCTTATTTTTCTTTTTGTGATCATTTGAATTACTATTCAGATTAGAATAGAGGGTATTATTGTAACTCCTTAGATGCCAATTTAGTTTTTAGAATCTTGGCAACATGTTCTGGGTGGCATATGCACAAATAAATTTTAAATTACATAAAACGTGGGGCGACTAATCCAATAGTTAAACGCTATGGAATAAGAATTCATATCTCACTGTCTTTGGACATATTGAAATGGAGCATTATAAAACAGGTACATACCCATATAAAGAGGTGTTCCACAGCGAGTGTATGTCCTATCACCAAAACTCAGCCATTTGGATAATCCAAAGTCAATAAGTTTAATATGGCCGAGTGCATCTAGTAAAACATTTTCAGCTTTCAAATCTCGGTATATTATACCAGCATTATGCAAGAAATCTGTAAAATAATAAGATATGAGTTTAATCTACATTACTAATATGTATATATATATATATGTAAATATATATTTACCAAGGGCGATTGCAATCTCAGCTGTTAACACTTTCACAAGATCTTCAGGAAATTGCTTTAATCTATGACAAAGTTGGAATAATTCGCCACCAGGAATATAATTACTAACTGTAAAATAATTTAAATGAGTTAAACTTTGGCAAAGTATTAACAAATCAATAAAACTAAGGTCATGCAAGCTTCTTAGACAAGTGGAATATCCGAGTGAATTGCAAAAAAAGCAGAAAAATAATCATTTAAATTAGAAACCCAGTAGTAACTTGTTAACAATGGTTAAAATTGTTAAGAAAGATACAATACAATAAGAATTTCAACTTTAATAAAATACTTGTAGATGAAACTAAAACTAATAACATATAAAGAAAGAATAATAATATTAACTAGTAATTACAATTATTACCTACCTATATACAGATGATGTTTATCTTGCCATTGCAATATGCAATTCACAATAAATTTATGATGACCGATAGATCTTTGTATACGAACTTCGTCCTTGACTTGTTGCACACTAGCTTCCTCTATAACCTAAAATCATCAAATTCAAAATATTTATTTCTTAGTTCAAATTAAACAATCAAATCATTATCCATATCCTTACTTTAGCTTTAGATAAAATTTTCAGTGCGTATTCTGTTCCATCTAAAATATTCTTAACCTTATGTACAGCTCCAAAAGCACCTTTAGAAATGAATTCAATAAATTTGTAATTTGAGTTTATTAAACTTTCTTTATATGCAAATTCAGGAAGAAATAATGCCTCAATTCGACGAACAGGCCATGTGGTTTTACTTTCTTGTAAATTTTTAGGCAGCTCACTGGATAAAGGACAATATGAATAAATACTAAGTATTGGTAAAATAATATTAAACTTACTTTTTTTTTATTTTAATTTTTTTTTGAGTTTGGATTCATATGGTATTTTACATTGACAATGACTTCAATTCTATAAATATTAAGTAACTGTTTATATAGATCAAAATCTTATCAATGTAACTCTAAGAAATGAAATAATTGCTTTCGTTACGATTTATGTGAAGTGCAGTTGAATGCAAATAATATATATAAATATATAATGTTTTATCAATGAGCAATATAATATTCAAGTACATGCAGCAATGAATTTCTAGAAACTTGAATACACCTTCCCAAGTATTTTTCAACATATCAAGAAACCTCAAAATAGGAATGAAACAAAACAATTAGTAGACACAATTCCATGAAGTTGAAATGTGGTAAAAATTGTGCTTCGTTAAACAAATATCTTACTGATTACCAATTGCATTTTTACATCACGATTTAAATATATAATATATTTAACTTGAGTGATCTCTTTCATAGGAAAAATAAATCCTATCAAAATATACTTTGAGGCAAATGGGGAAATAATTATTTCCATGCTTATAGGCTATATTTGTTTCAATTTCATAAAGTTGAAATGTGAAAAAATTGGTAATCGATTAGACAAGCTTTTTATGGAATATAACATTAATTGCAAACATCAAAATTTAAATAATACATTTAACTTGAGTATTCCTTGTAATGAAAGCATATCTCCTTTCAAAACATACTCTCGAGCATAATTATACTTGATGGCAAAGAAACTAATCCAATACAATGGACCTACTTTAATATTTTGTTAATAATAAGTAATAAATGGATATTTGTGCAGAATGTTTAAAAATGTTCTTCTACATATTACCTGCATATTATATAGCTTACTGCTTCGTAGGTTATAGTTTTTATAATAATAACAAAACTTCATAGTTAGTTTAAACGAACAATGATAAAAATGACAAAGAAACTAATCCAATACAAAGGACCTAATCAATCCTTTGTTCCCTGTACCATTGGAAGAACACAATGAATACTCAAAAATGCTTGTTTAAGAAGAAGTTCAAAATGCTACTTTGAAAAGAATTACTTGCCTGGTTTTAGGCCAAAATGATACAGATCTAGAAGTATATGTTCTTTCTCCAGTATTAACAGAACGTACACTGATATTAGATTTCCTGCTGAAACTGTTTGTAAGGCTGTTCAGGCTTAGCTGAAAAAATAACAACAATAAGTAACAATCGAAACAAATTGCAAAAAAATGTCTAACTACTACTAAAAATATAAAATTACGTACCTGGCTGAAATATTTCCTCGTTGTGTTTACTGTTTTAGGAGTCGATTCCGAATTTTTGACATCTGAATGCTTGTCATTCAGATTGCCCATATAAAATATTGTTGAGGAGAAGAGATGCAAATGAACTTGAGAAATTTTGAAGTCATAACTTTAAATTGAAAATATAGAATGTGTTTAATTGTTCGCTTGTGCTCGATTATTGTGATCCATAATCAGTAACAAAATATCAGAATGGTCATTGCGTATTAAAAACGTAGTAGTAGACCATAGAAAAAACAGCTGAGTAACATCAGTCCGCCATCTACTGACGTTTAACAGCTGTCAGTGTGGTACCTGTAAAAGAAAAAGGTTATTATACAACAAATACAAAAATATGAAATAAAGAAACATTTTTTGATTCTTGATAAACAGGTACAAACAGGATCAAATCATATCATTATGTGAAAAGCTTAAAAGGATTTGACCTTTTATATTAATGTATACAAAACCAATACAAAATAACCTTTTGTACAACTCACCTTGATATAACTTACAACTAGTAAGTATTTCTGAATGTAACTTCATCAATCACTTATATAAACAAAATCGTAAACATGTATGTAAATTCAATATAGATAATAAGACTAAATATTTATTTAATACGGTCTTGACATTCTTTTAATTCCAATAGTTTAATGTGCACTGATCTGTGCACATTTATTAAGTCTATTTTATTAGTACATTTACTAACTCCTATAATCAATGTGCAAACAACTTCACCCTGTTCTTAAATTAAATTTTGTAACATTACAAGCAATATTATTCTAATTTGTTTAAAACAATATAGGTAAATTAAGAAGAAAGACTGGATATCACAAACAAAGACACCTATTAAGACATTTCATTAATATTTTCCATGAAGATGAAATATAATTGAGTGTTTGAATATTTATCATATAAAATCCTCACTATGTTAAAGAATTCATTACCGACTTTAAAGCATTTCCATCACCAAAGGCAAATTGCTTTGTCAACCAACAAAAGATACTCTACAATTTACCTGATAAAACAGATACTGAAAAGAAACGTTGGTCTAATCGATGGGCTAAACCCATATCAGAAATTGAAGGAGAATGGTCAAGTAAATTTAAATTATTTGCTCCGAAAAAAGGACTTGACCCAAGCATTATAAAGTTTATAACAACTCCCAAAAATATTACACCCTCAGGAATAAAAACTTGGTGGAGTAATGTGAAACGTAAGGTTGACATTGAAGATCAAGTATTTTCAAAAGAAAGACATAATTTCTTAGGAAATGATTTAGCAGCTGCACATTTCATTATTTATAGAAAAGGATCTGTTAAGTAAGAATCACTTTAATAACATATTATTGTTACTAACTATATTTACTATGTATTACAATTATTATAACTATTTTTATTCAAAACGATATAAAAATCATAAGATTGATTACATAAGATTTATAAACTTTCAGATTTTTTGGAACAGACAAATGGCTGAAACTTGACGAGGATGATGATGAATGTGAAGGTTTGCCTAAATTTAACGTACCAGACCTCTATGTCTCTCATATAGATTGTAGTAATATGAACATTTATTATGAAGGATTACAAAATTTAGTAAGGTTACAAAAACTTACCTGGTTATCATTTAGAAACTGCAAAACTATAGATGATTTTTGCCTTGACCGTATCAGCGGCGAATATGGTGATACCCTAAAATATTTAGATATTAGTGGTTGTTCTATTACAGAAAGAGGCCTAAATGCTTTATATAGACTAATGAATCTAGAAACTCTAATAGTTACAAATGTAAAAGAATCTATCTCTTTTGAATTAACTTGTGCAATGTTAGAAGAATTGTATCCCAAATTAATTATTAAATCTATGGATGAGTCTGTAAAACAAGTTGAATAAAATATTTGTTCTATTTTAAAGTGTATTTAAAGTTATTTGTTTATAATTTGCGAAGTAATATGTTTTTGCATTTGCAAGAAAATATCACCGGGCATTTAAACATTCCAAACCAAGTTCTGAAATAATAAAAGGGTATTATTGCCAATGAGTAAACAGGATACTTTGGTCCGTTTTATGAGCTGTGTTTAATATTAGATACTCATATACAATATATTTTTCTTTCTATTTACAATTTCATGCGAGTAGAAATATTACATTTTCAAAAGAATTACTTTAACGTCATTTCAGATGTAACTAAATATTTCAAATTAATAAACTCAATTTTGAAGATAAAAATAACAATAATAAACATGTTCATATTAAAACAATTGATTACATTATTTTCCAATATAAAACTAACAACATATTGCAAATAGTCAGGACATAAAAGTCGAAGACTTGTTTCTGATTTGAAAAAAAAAATTCTTAAGGCATATCCCATTGCACTACATTTCACAATAAAAATAAATATCAACATTGCTCAATTCAAAATCAATATAAAAATATTTAACATTTATAAAACTTTCATCAAATTTATTATAATTAAAATATAGTACACTGATTATTAATAACCAAATGTTTATGTATAAAAATTTTAGATTTAAAAAAAATGTTTGAGCAACGTTTAATACAGAAATGATAAAATTTGTTATTTTGTATTCCTATTAGGCTAAATTTAAACTATAACAGAATGATTAATATACTTATACATCATATTTTAGAAATAATTTTTATAATCTAAAAATGTTAAAATAGATAAATTATTTATTCACAGATATTATTTAAGGATGTAAAATTATACATAACAATGTATAATCATATGAAATATAAATTTTGCATTTTGATTCATTATTTTTTGCACCATAGAATGGTTATACATTGTTATAAAATATATACAAAAATATTACATCCATATAGTCAAAATGTCTTCAGTAGATTGATTTTAAAAGATATTTCACAAATTAATTTATTAATATTGACACTTAGGTTAATTCACATATAATAATTATTTATTTTCCTATATATCTATATTAAATTTTTATCTAAATCATAAAATAACAACAGATGACTTAATTCATCTAGTATATTTTATACCTAATTTATCCATTTATTAAATGTATCACACAGTTATCATCTGATATATATATATATATATATATATATATACATATATATTTATATATATTTATTATAGAATTAAAACTTAACATAAATATTAGACTTGATTAAAAGTCTTTGATAAAACCAATTACTTTTTTTTAATAATGACGATTTGCTTGTCTTACATATGTTAAATAATATTTAGTAATACAGCGTAAAAAATAAATTAAAAAAGAGATCAAACTAATAGAATTCATTATTCTTTAATATATACTATATTTAAAAACGTGCGCAACCAGCTAAAAGACAAATCTAATTATTTTTTTTAGAGTATTTAAGTAATTATAATATAATTAATCTATAGAAGATGTCTTCTAGTTGGAGCGAAATATAATATAGATCATCATTTGCATCAAACCCGCATTATCAACTAATATAATTTGTATTCATTTAAAGTATCCTATCGTTTCATTATTATTGATGTTCTAATGGAAAAATATCAAATATTATGGGACTTCAAACACGAAATAAGACTTTAATGCAGGATAATATTTACAATACTGGAGTTAATTGATCTTTAATAAAGAAGCAATCAAATCAATAAATATATCGTGAGTTTAAAATATATACAATTAAGGATTAAAAAAATATTGTATATATACATAAAATACATACATGAATATATATATATATATATATATATATATATATATAAACATGCATGTAGAACTTGGAAAGACCTCTTGTTGTATTTAAAATAAATAACTTGTCTATTATATATGGCAAAATTAATTTTCAATGTATAAGTTTTATCATCTTGCCTCAAATTTTAATTTTTTCAAATATATTAACGTTTAACAAAATTCAGTGAACAATTTTCTTTTATAAACAAGATCATTTCTAATATGCAATATACATAGATGATCATTCAACTTGAAAATTATGATAATTAATCTACAAACAAACATTTAGTCTTCAAAGATTTGATAACTAAATGTTTTTAATAATTGATTTATATACATCAAGATTGCATTCTCATGATTTATTTATTACGTACATATATCTATTTATATACAACATATTATGGCCTATGGAAATATGTGATACATATGTCTTATGTACTAAGTTTCAAAATATTGACTTTTTTTGCTCCACTATTGATGTAGTTTATATTCACAAACTTTGTTTAATGTGACCACACACCCAATGCATTTTATTTGTAGAAATTCAAGAGATTATTCATCTTAAATAATGATATATTTTGTCATATTTGCAGTACTTGCTGCATACTGTATTTCTACGAAGCATAATGCACCAGTAAACGCATGTATCATAAAAAGTTTAGGGCATTTTAAATATTCT